TATCTATCTATCTATCTATCTATCTATCTATCTATCTATCTATCTATTAAGGGGTGTGCATAAATGCACAATTGTGTCATCTATCTATCTATCTATCTATCTATCTATCTATCTATCTATCTATCTACCAACCACCTGTCTGTCTATCTATCTATCTATCTATCTATCTATCTATCTATCTATCTATCATCCATCTATCATTCTATCTATCTATAATCTATCTATCTATCTATCTATCTATCTATCTATCTATCTATCTATCTATCTATCTATCTATCTATCTACCATCTATCTATCTATCTGTCTAACATCTCTGCCTGCCTGCCTGTCTGTCTGTCTGTCTGTCTGGCCGTCTCTCTCTCTCTCTCTCTGTCTCTCATTCTCTCTCTCTCTCTAACTAGCTATCATATTTAGAAATCACCCCTCTATCTCACAGAGGGACCCAGCTATAATATGATGCTGGAAGGAAATTCAGGGTTTCTTCTCAAGCTCTTTGCTCTTCCAAACTAGCTGTTCTAGAGGGCTGCGGTGTCTGTCACTGTCAAGGTTACAAAGATTAAGACTTTGCAAGTGTGGGTGGAAGCACTGCTGAAAAAGGCAGAGAGCAAAGAGCAAAGCAAGGGGGTGGACTGTCAATCAGAGGCAGAGTGCATGCTTCACAGTTGCACATGATCCCAACTGTTTTCCCCATAAAGGTAAAATTTCCTTCATGTCAAGCTGGGGATTTCAGGAACTAATCCATATAATTTTCTTTGCAACTGTTCAGAAGTAGTTGACTCTTGCTTTCTTCTGGTATACAAGAAATCTACTAGCTAATATTAGAAATCTATTCCAGTTCTGACTAGATAAAACCTATTTAACTTCCCAATCCAGATCGGGGCTGCTCAGTCGTGGTCAGCCTTCCAAGGTAGTTTAGGCAAGAAACACACTAGCTCTGTTTTTATTGTAAGCTTGCATTAACTCAAACTTGCAAGTCTGAAAGTACATTTCACCCCTCATTTTGCTTTACAGTCCTAGAAACTAGGGAGGATCCCTTCTGAGGTGTTTTCCATTCCTTCTGCGCGTTCAACCTCATCATATCTGACCTTTGCTTATTCTGCGGCTCTTCCACCTGTCTCCCAAGGTTGCTCTCACATACCATTACATTTCTTTTGTATCAGTTGAAGTATCTCTTCTTCCCCCAATATCATGCCCTCTTGACGTTTTGGGCCACAGCTCCCATCATCCCACACCACTACGCTGATGCAGAGGTGGTATTCAGCAGGTTCTGACCCGTTCTGGAGAACCGGTAGTGGGATTTTTGAGTAGTTCAGAGAACCAGAAAACCCCACCTCTGACTGGCCCCGTCAACCCCCATCTCTTCTCTGCCTCTGATCGAGTCCCAGCAGATCGGCCGGGTCTTCTTTGGTTGCCTTGCACAGGAGAACGGAGCTTGAAAGCAGGTTAGTGGGGTGGGGAGGGAGTGGGGATTTTGCAGTATCCTTCCCCTGCCACGCCCACCAAGCCATACCACGCCCACCAAGCTATGCCACACCCACCAAGCCATGCCCACAGAAGCGGTAATAAAATTTGTTTTAATCCCACCACTGGGATGATGGACATCCTAGTTCAAAACAGCAGAGAAATATCATACTGGGAAGGAAGATGAGCTAAAAGAGTGACACAGGAATCTTAATTTCCTAAATCCAATGTTTCCCTAAAAGCAGACCGTGAAGCCAAGGAACAACCATGCTGGATTTTTGCCTGATTCCCCAACTCTGCTTGTTTTCTTTAAGAGTCTCTGAACGTTTCTTGTTCACTTTCAGGTAGGGATTCAGGTTTCCTCTCCTTTTACAAATGTTGATAATCTAAAAACTGCATTTACCAAGGTGAACACTACAGAAACCCTGGGAAAGGTTTCAAGGGTCCATCCTGTTCGTTTTACTGTGCAAACAGGAGGAGAAACATGGCACGCAATGTAGTGCTTTGGCTGCTCAAGGAAAAAAAAATAGATTGGGGTCAAAAGGTAGAAAATTTATTTAAGGAACAATGGGGAAGAAGTGATCACTTACAGGAATTTCCCCTCTCTGTGAGAAAAATATATATATTTTTGAACACGCTGTTCCTCCTTCCATGCGCTCCCTAGAGTCTTGAATTGAAAACATGGCACAGGTAGCACAGCCAGAATGGGCTAAATTGGCTAAAACTTCATGATAAGTCTTGTTAATTTTTTGTTTTTTTTAAAGAAAATCCAAGAAGCAGAATTAAGATGCATTGAAGGAATCTTGCACAGGTGACACAAACACATAGCTATGGGTTTCTGGGTGGGGGGCATTTCCAAAAAGTGGTGCAGATTGGATAATACGAGCCAAAGAAAACGAGCAGATTTGCAGAAACTAATGAACCAGGATTGTAATTTGAATATTTAAAAAGCTATTTGCCTATTAAGAAGTTCTTTGTATATTAAAAGCAAAGAATATTTTATGACACTTTAAAAACTAATCCATGTATTCAAATCCATGTATCAAAGTATCCATGTATTCAAAGAGAGAGTCAAACTATTCTCCAAAGCACCTCCAGGTAGGACAAGAAGCAACGGGTCGAAACTAATCAAGGAGAGAAGCAACTTAGAACTAAGGAGAAATTTCCTGACAGTTAGAACAATTAATCAGTGGAACAACTTGCCTCCAGAAGTTGTGGATGCTCCAACACTGGAAGTTTTAAAAAAGATATTGGATAACAATTTGTCTGAAATGGTGTAGGGTTTCCTGCCTAGGCAGGGGGTTGGACTAGAAGACCTCCAAGGTCCCTTCCAACTGTGTTATTCTAGTCTATTCTAAACCAATGGGAATATATGCATTTATTGAACACAGATCCTGTTCTCTCTATTCTGCCTTCATCACACTGCAGGGTTCACTCCACAGTTTAAAAAGGACATTGATAAAGTAGAGTATGCCGAAAGAAGACAAAGTAAATTGAAGTTGGAGGATTAGGTATTTTAGCCTGGAGGAGAGAAGGCTGTAGAGACAAGAGGACTGCCTTCAAGTATGTGAAGGGCTGTCATGGAAGAAATGGGGTAGAATTATTCAGGAAACAAGACAAGGAACAGTAGGTTTTAAACAAGGAGCCAATTTTAGTTGGGTGTAGGAAAATATCCCTAATGGTCAGAGTTGTTTTACAAGGGAAAAGGCTCTCTCGTGGGATGGTAGATTCTCTTCCATGGAGTCCTGGAAGATCTTTGAACAGGAAAATTTTATTATTATTTATTATTCTTGCACCGTGCAGGAGGGGGTAGCTTAGATGATCTCCAAGTTCCCTTACATTCTATGATTTCTGTAGTGCAGAACATTTCCCTGCTGCATTTATTAAAAAATCCAGTTGACAGTTCCATTTTGCTCCGAAGAAAAACTTCATCCTTCTGCGATGCTTGTTTTTTTAGATTAAGAAATGGGAAAGTGTAAAAGAAAGATTTGGAAAGTAAAACATCCTTAGCAGCAAACTGGTTAGCTAAACTCACTATCAGGGAGAAGTTTTCGTGTGTTCGTAAATAAGCTGGAAAACCTGAAGTCAAAGGGAAGAATCCTTTTGAGAAAGTGGCCGAAGAAGCAAACTTTGGCACGGTGTTAATAATACAGATAGGAGAAGTGAGTGGTTGAATGCCTTCTCCCCCCTTTTTAAAATACACACTAACAAACAACTCTGTGATTAGGAGGCATTGAGAGCCCGTACAGAAGGAACAAGATTCATCCTGGTTTTTTAAAAAAATTTCCTGATATTGGGTCTACAGTATGTGCAACTTTCAAATTGCTCTCTAGTTCTAAAAGCTCATTATGAAAAACATAAGTGGTTTGTTTGTTTGTCTGCCTTTGTTTTCAAGAACAGCAAGAGTTTTAACCTTTGAGGTCGTTCCTACAGTCTTAAAAAGAAATAACGTCAAGGTGAAGCAATTAAAAGCTTTTCTGATTTTTGTGTGTGGTTTTCATTACTTTTTTTTCTTTCTTTCAAGAAATGCTCTCTAATCCATGCGGGAAAGTTTGTTCTTCGGCCACTAGCTTTGGGCGTGTACAAATGGGTCACCTTGGAAGCTGGAAGTGGAAGAAACTAGAATTGGGAACCAGTATGTATTCTCATTATTGGGTTGGTATGTAGACCAGCCGCATAATGAGAATAATGTCCTTGACAGAGAGAAAAACGGTTTAATAGCAAGTGAATTGGCCAACATGGCCAACGGGTCAACATAGCTGGCAAGCAACAGGACAGTGAATATACATCTAGTTCAGAATATGGAACATAGAACAAGAAGGTTGAAAGGGACTTTGGAGGAAACCCTACACCACTTCAAACAAACGGTTGTCCAATCTCTTCTTACAAACTTCCAGTGTTGGAGCATTCACAACTTCTGGAGGCAAGTTGTCCCACTGATTAATTGTTCTCACTGCTACATTAAAACTACTACATTAGCTTAACAAGTCATACAACTGAGCATGGTCACATGATGAGCTGCTTAAAGACTCATCTCTGTGACAAAGCCGAAGAGCCAGCACTGTCCGAAGACATCTCCGCGGTCATGTGGCTGGCATGACTAAATGCCGAAGGCGCATGGAACACTATTCCCTTCCCACCAAAGAAGTCCCTATTTTTCTACTTGCATTTTTTTACATGCTTTCGAACTGCTAAGTTGGCAGAAGCTGGGACAAGGAATGGGAGCTCACTCCATGATGCGGTGCAGGGATTTGAACATTTGGCCATATTATCCATCAAATGCTGACCGTGCTGTTGACAATTCCATGGGGAGGGATAAACTGAGGTTTATTTTTTTGAGGCTTCAGAAGGGACAGTGCTAGCTTGATTTCCTAGTAAACTGGGACATTGTACCATGATCCCCACCTGAGCATCATCGCCGGAGAGTCACCACCTACCTGGTCCTTGCCTGAAGACGTGTTGCTTGGCATGGGGCGCATTTCAGGGCCCCCCCTTTGGTCACTGACGTTCTCCAGCTGCGTTGGCAACGTCCTTGGCGACTTCCGGTCCGTTTCGCAGAAACTGATGAAGGGGAAAGCACACAACAGCACCCATGAGTCACGAGGTTAAGTAATAATTGGGCTCAAACCAGGTTCTTGAGGTTAACCATGCATTCTTGAGTCCTGGAGCAGGAAGAGCCCCCATCCACAGCCAGTTGCATCTGCCTCCTGCAAGTAAAAGCAAGCTTTCCTGTCTGCCTGAACATGAGTTCTCACGCAATCAGAAGTTAGAATCAGTCCAGGGCGATACAAAGGAACAAACAGAAACTCTACCTTCTGCCCAAAATATAATTGTTCCTGGGTCTTTGTGGAGAGCAAAAAGTCGGGGGTGGAGGGGGGGTGGGTGGAGAAAAAGAAACCAGAAGATGGATAGTTATAAGCTGATCTTGCACGGAATATTCAGCAATTGGCAGAATTCTTCCGTAACGGAGCCTCAAACTTTTCTACAATACATTTTCTGATCAAAAGCCGTTTGATTCCTGGCCATGCCTGGATTCTGGTGGGGCTATTTAATTAGTTTCAGTCCAGCCTGCCAAGGAGAAACTCAACACTCTGGTGTCACACAGGTGTGAAGAGCCCAGTTACAAAAATAAATAAAATACATTAATAAATCCAGCAATGGAAACTTGTCTACTTGGTAAAAGCTAACAAGTCTCCCTTCAAATGACTTGGGTTACTCTTATTGGATCTTGTGGCATTCCTGCAAATAAAGACAACGGCAGAGCTACAGCTGAGCCTTGGCAACAGCCAGCTGCCTAGATCATTAAAAAAATACGACCAAAAAAGTATTTTTTAAATAAATCAGGATAGGAAGGACAATGTGTCCATGGCTGAATCCGCAACCACTCGGTTCTACTAGAAGAATTCTATGCAAAAACACAGATATTCTGCCGCCGTCAAGGAGAATTCCTCTAACTTTCAGCCTGCTCGACTTCCATATTTATGAGACAGCTGCTACTCTGCAGAATGAACACTGCAAACCAAACATTCAGGCAATCCTCAACTTACAATGCCTGTTTAACGACTGCTCAAAGTTACAACAGCACTGAAAGAAACTTGCAGAACGGCACTGAAAGAAACGACCATGGCAGCATCATGTGATCAAAATTCAGATGCTTGGCAAATGTCTTGTATTTATGACGGTTGCCGTGTCCTGAAGGTCATGCGATCCCCTTTTGCGACCTTCTGATGAGCAACGAGGAAGCCAGATTCACTTAACAACGGGGCTACTGACTTAAGAACGGCAACGATTCCCTTAACAAGGGTGGCAAGAAAGACTGCACAATGGAGCAAAATTCATTTAACCACTGCCTTGCTTAGCAAAGCGAAATGTAGGGGCTCTATTGTGTTCATAAGGTGAGGACTACCCATGTTAATGAGAGAGCTGTCATATTGCGGAACTGCCACTGCAAATCAAATAGGCAAACTTCATATTATTCCCCAACCATGCTTTGTTGACTGTTTGGGGGTTCAGTCCTTTTATGGGGTTGGTACATTGGATCCTCAGAGTTCTACCCCAAATAAAGAGAAGCCAGAAACTTCAAGAGTTTCTCTGTCCCTCCATTTCTCTCAATTCTCTCTTTTTTTAAAAAAGAATTTCCTTCTGATCTTTCTTCTTCTTCTTCTTCTTCTTCTTCTTCTTCTTCTTCTTCTTCTT